GCACGATGGCGTCATTTTACTACTACGACCAGAATTCTTTTCGTTTTTCCTTTCATATACATGTAAATTTGGTAGCCCCAGTGAGGTTTAAATAACAAAAGCCCTAATTTGTACAAGAAAGCAAAACCCTGAAGGATCCTGGTCATTGTAGTAAAATGATGGCCTATTCTGTGGATTGTTTTAATGTGCTCAGCGGTTTTGCGATGTTACTGTAAAAACAGGATTCAGGGAGGATCCAGGAATTTTGGAAAAGCTCGGGTCTAGATCCTGTGCGCACTGTCACGTGTTTGTTGATCCCTTCTCACAGCTACGCTTTCGACACTAACTTTAATTTCTTATGTGAAAATAATGAGTCGTTTTAGAGATTTTAAAGACAACCAACGTCTGGTGAAGCATACAATGAATGCTGCTGTTTGAAAGAGATAAGATCAGCACCTTCAATTCTTCTCTGTCGGGGTCTGTAGAAAACATGTAGGATGCCGTCGATGACATATATTCGTAGTCGTGTTAAGTTTTGTATTTGAGTGATACTCCTGCCCCGGTAGCGACAATATAAAGAGCTTTTAAATAAAGTTCAGTAAGAACGGGCAGGAAAGCCCCTTTGGATGCTGCTCTTAGAGAAACAGTTCCACGGTTTTTTTTTTTTCAAATACTTGTCTGTGATTGGGCACAAAAATATTTTTGTGCCCAATCAGAGGCCAGCGTCTATCGCATTGCTTTAGTGATCTTCCTGCACGATGGAGTTTACCTGCAAACTCGACAGTTCGCCGTACCTGTCTGGTCCCTTCAGGATTAGAGAGCTTCCTTCGAGAAGAGTTTTCAGTATCTCAGTGAAAATGAGCCCCTAAAGTTTACTCTACCAGTTTCATCCAATCCCCTTGTATCCTTGAGGAGAAAATTTAACAAATTTTACGAACTTTGAAGTCCGAAAAAATTTCTCCTGTATTCTGGTGTTTACCAATTTAGCTTCGATCAGCCCACAGTCTAATTTCTTTAATTGGTGCTGTTTTGCTGACATGCTAAATTACAGGGTAAAATTTCCGTAGCCCCTTACATTTTTTATGCTTGTATGTCTCCACTCTATTCATATCAACTACTGAAATTGCTGCTTGCATAATAAATTTGTGAGTTTATTCGAAAAATTTATCAATTAACATATAGATTTAGCCAGGGCTATAAGCGAAGCTCCCATTAATAAATTTATAATTTAAATCAAACAATAAACTTGTAATCCACAAATCAGTTACCTTAAGGGCACATATGTGACTTAAGCTAGGGAAAGGCTCAGTGATTTTAGAGTGAAAAAAAACCTTACATCGAGTTGATATAGCCTTACCCAAAAAATAGCAATCACCTTCGATCACATTTAAGAGGCATAATGGCACTCATGATCACAGTAGATTAGGCCTGGAAAACAAATTCTTGGAAAACAAATCAGGCCGAATTTTTTGCGTTCGACAATTACTTTACAAAATCTTGCCAACAAATCTGGGTGCGGGTAAACTAACCTTTTATACTTTTTATACGTCACAACTGAGGTAAAACAGTACTATGAGGCGCTGTTGTTCATACAGACCTGAGAAAAAATGCAGTATTTCACAATTTTTCAGACAAATTGCACTCACTCAATATTCAGAATCATCGAAGCACGCCTGGGCTTTTAGCGAAACCGTTCAAAAAATTTCCAAATCACCTATACGACAAGCCGATTCTCACTTTTGACAAGCGCCAAATTTGCAGTGAACATTAAAAGAGTCACGCTTCAACATAATAAAAAATTTCTTGTGTTCATTTTTGATTTAATGGTGTTATAACGATGTGTCATCTTAAAAGCCGTTTGATACGCGCAGCATTTAAGAGCGCTGCTATAAGATTTCTTTGATTTTGTGGGCCCCATTTTCGATGAAAACTCTTCTCTTAAAAAGCGCTCCTGCACGAGCCAAACATGTACGGCGAACAGTTGAGATTTGGGGGTAAACTTCTTCGGAAGCAGCGCGATAGATAGTGGCCTCTTTTTGGCCACAAAATTAGTTTTATTTTTCAATCACGGACAAACATTCGAATAAGTAGCTAATAAGTCGTGGAACGATTCTTTAAGAGTAGCATCCCAGGGGCTCTCTCAGCCGTGCTTGAAAACTTTCGCCGCAGCCGTTTTTCCTGACTAAACTGGATCTCCGCGGATGAGTATAATCCGCTGATGGCCTGATCGAAATTCAATTTGGTGGCTGTTTTATACAGGTAAAACACAATGAAACAGTAAAAATGCTGAGAAACCGCCACTTAAGTGTCCATACCTCATAAAGAGAATTATTTCGTTACGTTGTTTTCTTTCTTCTTAACACTCTATGAGCGTCATTTTATATTGTTTCCTCACCTGCTTAGAAAAACACGAGGAAAGTTGCTGCTCAGTCCACAAAAATCAACCCAGGTGGATATTTTGCAAACACAAACACTCCCCCAACCACATATATTTGCATAATGGCGAAAAACACATAAGTAAAATTAGATAGTGTGTATGTGACCTTATGTTGTTAAAAACTGATTTACATGGCCTGCGGCTGATATGGAGACCTTTCTGTGAATAAGCCACTACACCTGAAACAATATTGCTCTGTCGTAAAACGCAAATCAACAACTGTGGTTTTCCCGCTTCCTCTTTGTAAACAAGGGCAATGTGCACGAAGCATCCAGTGGGTACCCTTGGGAATATAGTTTCCTAGGAGTTTATTTTTCTCCTTTCCCTTCCTGTCGAGGGGAGTTTGACCGTGCAACGTGACTACTAAGCCAAGACCGATTCGACAAGGCCAATCGACGAGGGCACCAACTTTTCTCACCCTCGTTAAATTTTTCGTCTTCTTAAGGCCACGGCTCTACATTTGGCTCAACATTCTCAAATTGACGTTTTCGGGGGAACGAGAGTCTTAGGTCTACTCCAAAGCAAAGCAAAGATTTGGAACAATTGAAGACAAAACAAGGGTGGTTTTCGGAGCTATTTTCTTGGGCACGTTTGTTTTGCTTACCGTATTTATTCGATTAAGCGCCCAGTCTCGAGTTAGCGCCCACCTCGAATAAGCGCCCATCCTAAAGGTAGAAAAAGTTAATAAGCGCCCAGCCTCGAATAGGCGCCCACCCCTTCTCCTTCCACTAAAACTCTAACAAGCGCCCACAGAGAAAACGCACCCCCCAAAAATGAATAAGTGCTAATAAGAGACTTCCCCGAAGACGGAGTTTTCTTCAGAGTATTGATCATTTTACAGAAACCTTGCTTTGTTACATCTTCGGGTTTTGCTATTACCATTTATTGTTTTGTTGCAAAATAAACATACTATACTTGCTGAAAAGCGCCCACCTCGAATAAGCGCCCACTCTCAAGGTCCAAAAATTAATAAGCGCCCAGGGCGGTTAATCGAATAAATACGGTAGTTGGGCATCAAAACTTGCTAAGCAAGACGCCCATAATGGAGATATGTCCAGAAATGCACGCAACAACGAAAATGGCAAATTTGGCGAAAATTCAAAGACTTGCGGAGAGAAGCGCATCATAGGATATTAAACGTGATAGAGCATTTAACCCTTTAAACCCTAAGGTCAAAATTTGAATTCTCATTTGTTGCCCCTACAGAAGTCGTGGGGAGAATTTGAAAAAATATCTAGCATATTCATCTCGTGTGATCATGTCCGTAATTCTCGTGACCACTCTGTTTTACAAAGCATTGATATTACAAGGAGAAATTTGATGCTGATCACTCTCAGGGCTTATAGAGTCGATGCAATTCCAAAAGACTGCAGTTCAAGCTAGATGCTTACTTAAGCAAGGATGTTACCGGATTTGTCGCGATTCCCTACCGTTTTGGAGCGCTGCTTAGTCATAAATTAGTTAAAGTGCCATTGGCAAAAATACAGTATTTACAAATAATAAATTTACAATCGGCGAGGTGAAACTGAATTACCTTATTGGTTCTTAATTTCGCGGGTACTTAATTTCGCACATTTGGCGAGATAATATTTCGCGGGGTTTTTGTTTTCGCCATTTAAAATCAGTCAACAATTTCTGTTTTTGTAGATATACCTGGATTTTTGGTTTGACGAAGTAATTATATTGATTTAGCTATATTGTTTACGAATGATAGACGAAAGGTCAAATGTAAACGAGATGAATCTATTACAAAAGAGTCAGTATTCGTGGAATATATTCTTCCTCAAAAAAAGCATTTGAGTCTTGCTGGAGCTCGTTCTCAGAAGAACACAGAACTGTACTAAAATCGACCGGTAGAAACATAAAATCTAATAAATAATGAATTCACACTCAAGAAAGGGGAGGACAGCCCTAATTGATATAATGAAATGAAATAGTCGGTGGTTGTGCTTGTATGTATTAAACGTGATGCTAAAAAATGTTTACGTTCTCTTAAAAAAATTCGTGTCATTGAAAGGTATCCCCGTAATAAGAACAATCGATAAACGTGGCGGTACACCGTCATTACAAACAACAACAACAAAAGTAAGAAATATATACATGTGAATCAAATCAAATCAAATCACTGGTTTATTGTCCCTTTTGCAGTCGGAAGACTGAATTGTAGCATACCTTACAAGCTGTGATATATAAACTATTGACAAGATTAATATTTATCACTAACAAAATTTGGAGACGTTCAGTCCTTGTGGCCATGGGCCTGCTAGAATTCCCTGATCTTAGACAGACACTGGTAGATATAGGTATCACTCTGTTGTGTATTAGTGGGTATAAAGGGTTACCTGGCCGAACCTTACCTATAAGTTTAATACACGAGACTGCCCGACGGTCAGAAAGGGTGGATCATGCAGCTTTGTCAAGTGCTGTCTCGTGCGAAATACCAGGCCAAATGATGAAAAGGGCCCTTTTTTGCGCCTTCTCAAGATAGCAAAATATATCAACAAGTGATTAGCTTCAAGTCACTGCTTCGTCCCCCGGAGCTTCTTTGGTAGCCTCTTGGACGTCTCCCCTTACTGTCTCAGGGGTTGAATATCCTCCTCAGACTCTTGGATTTCCTCCTCTGCTAACTCTTGGATACCCTCCTCGTCCGATTTATCAACAGAGTCCTCGTTCGAGCTTGAATCTTCAGTGCTTTTTTCGTTTAAAGTGGCTACTACTACCTGCAAGGTACGGGTAATGTTTTTTTTTTAAAAAAAAAACGCCTTTTTCAAGCAGCCATAGCAGAGGGTCGAGATGAAGACGCCTGACCAATTAACTCAGCATTGATGGTTGCGATGCTTGTAAAACTGTTGTTAGTTTTGATTGCATCAAACGTCTCTCCAGCTACCTCTCTTGACCTGAGTTTTTCGAGAAGCAAGTATGTCCTCTGTTGTAAACGCTTCTCCTCCAATCTCTGTTCTTGGTGTTCTAACAATAGATGGGTGGGACCAGAGACAAAAAGAATTCCGCAACCTGTACCAGACCCAAACAATTGGGGACATTTCATGGATGTCTATCAGACGGAATCGACAAGCAGGACACCGAATGATCTCCCTAGAAAATGTTTGAAGGACTTGTATGGGGAACATTCCGTCAGTATCATAAACGATGGAAATACTATCAAGAGCTTCTGTTCAAAAAACAAAGTTGATGAGAAGCATGTTATTACATACGTTAATCATCTTAAAGTTATTGATATCAGAAAAGACATTAGAACAAGAGAAGCTGAGAGGCAAGAGGAGGAAAGGACATACAAGGACTTCAAATGGGACACTCTTATTTAGAGTGGCAAGATCGAAAGTTAAAGATAAAAGAACTTGACTTCTACGTGAACGAATACGGACTGACCACAATTGGTCGGAAGCTTGACAAAGTAAAAGTTATTCAATGTCATTATTACCGACACATCAAAGAGTCTGTGAACATAGACGATATCGTGTGGTGCCAAAGATGAAAGTGACGGGACCGCATATCAGGAGATTAAGAATATGAGGAAGAATTCTACAGTGAGAGGGAAGAGAGCGACAATGACTTTGTTTTCAACGATCTGTATGAGACAATTCAGTTCATATCAGATGAGACGTAAGTATTAATATAGATGTCACTTGCTTGCATATAGTACACTTAGTCTGGCTTTTTGTGGTGGCTGGGATAGAAGAGAGGGGGGGGGGGGGGCAATACAGTTTGCTTTAAGGAGGGATCACGTAAGTGCTCCGTTGTCGCAAAAAAAATTCGCCGCCCCCCCCCCCCCCCCCCCAGGCAACAAAAAAAAGACTGGTTCCTTGGAAATAAAAAATGGGAAGAGCACACGTCTGAACCCCAGTAAAA